AGTACCCAAATGTGAGTACACTGGGGTGACTAAGGTGTAAAGTGTTGGGCAATTTTAGAGTAGGATATACTATATGTAATTTTCCCTTGGAGATGAAGCAGAGACATTTTATGAGACCCTCTTTTTTTTTTCTTTTTTTCTCTAAGAAATATGACTGATGGGAATATGCATTACTACATTCATGGAGAGGGAAGTTCTAAAACTGTAGGGGTCACAGCACCTGGGGGAAGTGGAAGGCAGTCAGGTTAGATCCAAGAAATCTGAATTCAATTCCTTAGATCAAGAGCCTTTCACCAGTCTCAAGAAACCAGTATGCTTTGCTACAGTTAGAGTAAGGAGGTTAGATGCAAGATGTATCATCTACTCTTCAGATCAAGACATTCTTGCACAAAACAATCAAATTTCCATCATGTGAAGTGACAACTAATTCAGCACTACCAACAAAAGTTTCATTATAACAGGGCTGATCACGATTCTTTTTTACTGTTGAGGTGGTGGGTTTAAAAAAAGACATACCCACTAATGAGGTTCAAGAAAAGGGAAGGTTGGAGGAATTTAGATTCAACCTGAAGAGTGATCCAATTCCTCAGATTAAGAGCCCCTTCACTGCAGTGAGGGACCCCTTCTTGAAGGGTTATGGATCATTCAGGACTACTAGGGTACCTACATTTTTATTATTACAATCAAAACTTAACTCCATGGGGAAGTGGAACAGAATTCTTCCTCCATAAGCCATGCGCGTCATAAACGCGACTAAAATGCCGGGAGCAAGGGACTAATAACTCCTTCTCCTGCATATATTACTAAATTTAAAAAGAGAAACTTTTGTTTTTCTTTTTGGGCCATCCTGCCTCAGTGGGGTGTGGCCGGTTTGTTGAAAGAAGAATCAAAACTAAGCGCTAAACCACTGGGGTTATACAGTGCTGCAGGGTAGAGGTTGTAAGGGCAGTGAGGAGTGCTAAAGGAAGTATAATCAAAGATTGTGTAATAAATCTGTTGCTGTCAAAGAGGAAGTCTGTGTCATGTGTGGGGCCATCAGCCTGGAGGGAAGATAAACGTGAGAGAGATGTGTGTGCCCTATGCAGACGTGGAAAAGCGTAGTTTCCCACCCATGGCATCAAAGGTTTAAGATCATGATCATAAACTTGTAAACTGGTTTAGCTTGGATGCCTTTAGCAATGCTGTAAATATTAACCAATCATATTTACTACTTTAGAGAGAATGGATCGAAGTAGAATGACATGGAAAGCATATAAATCTATAGGGGAAGGAAAGGGGGGTAGGGTCGTCCTCAAAAGGGTTGGAAAGAGGGGGTAAAGGTGGTTTTGTGGGCGAGGGGCTTGGACTTCCAGCAAGCGTGCATGAGCGTGTTAGATAGGAGTGAATGGAGACGAATAAATACTTGGGACCTGACGATCTGTTGGAGTGTGAGCAGGGTAATATTTAGTGAAGGGATTCAGGGAAACCGGTTATTTTCATATAGTCGGACTTGAGTCCTGGAAATGGGAAGTACAATGCCTGCACTTTAAAGGAGGGGTTTGGGATATTGGCAGTTTGGAGGGATATGCTGTGTATCTTTATACGTATATGCTTCTAAACTGTTGTATTCTGAGCACCTCTGCAAAAGCAGTGATAATGTGCGAGTGTGGTGAAAGTGTTGAATGATGATGAAAGTATTTTCTTTTTGGGGATTTTCTTTCGTTTTTGGGTCACCCTGCCTCGGTGGGAGACGATTGACTTGTTGAAAAAAAAAAAAAAAAAAAAAAATTTACTACTCAGAATTTAACACATCACACCACACATTAACACTTTACCCAAAACATGCACAGAATATTAGTGTTTCTGATTAAACCTAAACGAATTTACCCCAAGTTATTTCCACTATACCATCCAACCTTCTGCTTTCCAGAAAAGCTCATTATGCACATACTATTTACATCTGAAAGCTAACAAATTCTTATATAATTCACTGGGAAATAAAAGCGTACACCTTAGCATTATTTTATTTGTACGAGATGTACTGGTATACATGAAAAGTATAAGATTATTTTTACAATGATTATTTTTGGAGAAACACTAAACCCGTAGGAGTCCTACAATACCTGGGGAATGGGAGGCAATGAGGTCCAGTCAAGGGTGGAAGGACAATTCCAATTCCTTGGATGAAGAACCATTCACAAGCATCAGGGAACCTCCCTTGTAGCAAATTTTACAATGAGAATGCAAGTAATAGCTATATAAAAACTCAGTAAATGTTACTTCATGGCTAAATTAGTTACACATTCCACGCATTGCCAGGATTTAATGTTTTATTTTTCTGAACATTCAAATGGTATAAAATACCTCCCATTGAGTTCTAAAAAACATTACTACTGGAATTTTTTTTTTATAACCTATCAAAAGATATATATATATCTATATATATATATATATATCATTCCCTGAAGCACAAGAAATAAAATTACATGCTTTCAAAAGGTATTGTTCATCTGGTACATTATTCAAAAAATGTGGGTCAACATTTATCAAGTACAATGCATTTTTTAACACTAAGAGAAGCACAGTGGAGAGAGTATTTAAGGAAGATGCTAATGTGCTGTTTGGTAATCACAACTCAAAAATTAAACCCAGCCATACATCACCTTAAATATATATATCAAACATATTTACTAAAGCTATACAATTTTCTTCTATTGTATTTTCTTATGAATGTTAGAGACATACTTAAAAAAAAAAAATACTTGTGAACTTTTACAAGATTCACTTATCATTCACTAAGGGTTTACTTTATTTTAGAGAAGGTACTGTTTTAGGGAGGAGTAAGAGATGAGTTAATAATTCACATATCCTTGAATTTAAAGCTCTATATAGTGTTTTCAAGATGTCCTGTAATTTGAATAAAGCTTATTTTTCAGTGAATTTAGTTCCACTCTGGACATAGTTTTCTAGACACATATTCCCTTGAATAGTAAAGTTTATAGTGAATATAAAAATTTTTAAATGAATTGTTATAACGTAAAGTGAACAAATAGTGAACAAGGCTCTTCAGATATGAAACATTTAATATTTAGTACTGTATGTAAAGAAATCTCAAGCTACATTAAAATAAACTATTTTAGAAAAAACAAAGCAAGTTACATGAAAACATCAGTAGAAAAAAGCTGGTCACAAAATGAGTAACTTTAACTCAGAGAATATACAAATTATCTTTGTTCAATCACTGTCACTACTGCTAGTTTTTTGAACGATGCCTCTTCCTCTCTCGAGCCTTGTCCTTACTACGAGACCTTCGATCCCGTGACCTATCCCTCCTGTCTCTAGATCTATCTCGTGATCTGTCTCGCCGACTATTTCTATCTCTGGAGCGATCTCTTCTTTCTTTAGATCTATTTCTCCTATCTCGGACTTATTGTGCTTCTCTCTATTTCTACCACCTCTATCATGAGATCTACCACGTCTATCTCTTGATCTATCCTTAGGTTTATCGTGAGATTTTGAATTATCTTTATCTTTACGCTCCCGAGACCGACTTCTTCCACTTTGCTCCTTATTTCCTCTCTTTTGGTCCAATCCTTTTTCCTTTTTATGATCCTTATCCTCTGCCACCTTTTTCTTCTTTTAACTCTCCATTTTCCTTTTGTTTTTGGTGAAGGGTTACGACCAATGGGCTCATCCTCATTTATTCTGCCATTTATTTTTTTCTGATCACCAGTTTCCTCTTCTTCCTCCTCTTCCTCATTATCCATGGCTTCATAATCTAATGCAGTCTCATCAAAAACTTCTTGTTTTTCTCTCTTTGAATCATGTTTTTCCCTTGGGGTCATCCTTGTTTTTCTTTCTTGAAAGCTTTTTCTGGAAAAAAAAAAATTAGTTTTTAATTTCATGAGATTTACATATTTAATAGAAAAGCCAAAATGCCACACAGTCATACAAAAAGAGTCAGGAGTAAGAATGTGTAAATTAAACACGAAATTTTGAAATAAAACATAAATGCTTATGAATAAATAATATTGTATTCAAAATAATCAACAAATTTTATTGTAGAGATAAAAGTAGCAAAACAAAAAATGAAGTCTTAGATTTAAGAAAAAAAAATTGCCCATTTTAACTTCAAGGCATGTTATGGTCAATGAGTAGACCATTTCTTGGGTTAGGAGTCATTACTATGTTCCAAATGCACTGGAAAAATATATTTTCTGTATTTTGTTGGATATTTATGAGTCAACTGGTATACTGAGGGCAAATCAATGCATACATAGTCACACTGTACTCTGGAAACTAGTACAAGTTGGATTGAAAAAATAACAGTGCTCTCTGCAGAAATACCTACAAACTGAAAGTTAAATGGAAAAATCAGTGCTAGTGCTGGAGTTCCCCTCCCTCTGTAAACTCGGAGATAACTACTGATCATTTAGTAAGAGGACTGACTAGTTGGGTCCCTCACTGCTTGCAAAAATGAACTGTAGCAGTGGGAATGCCAAAGTAATTAATGAAATAAAACATATTTACTCACCTCTTTTGTATGGGTGGTCATCAGAATCTTGTTCATCTCTCTGCAATCTGCTCTCACAATAAAAAAAAGAATAAAAAAAAAAAATAAAAATAGTACAGGTATAAACAAATTTATTGTACACAAGAATTACACACATGCAAGGTAAGTACTTACCTGAACATATATTAAACTGCAAACAAGAGAAATACCTTGAGCAATAAATAGAAGTGCCTAATAAGAATGCTAAACCTCAATAATGTAGATATGGAATAAAGGAATAGATGAATGAATGTAGTACATATGCATGTAGAGTTTACATGTGCATGTGAGTAGGTAAAACCTCCCCCCCCCCGTGTATGTGCATGTTTTTTTTTTTCTTTATACCAGAACTTGTGAACTTTGCTCATAATGAACGTTTTTTTCCAAAACAAAATTTATTGTAGCAATTTTTTTTTGCAATAAATTTGGGCCCAAAAATCAATCCGTTATAAAATTCATATACGCCTGATAAAAAAATGCCAAATACAGGCTAGACAGGATTAAACTTTTACTTTAAAGGGGGATTTTTTCCTTTTAATTTTCCTACTTATGTTTTTAGTTTTGGTGCAGATAAGATTTGCAAGGTACAGTAAACCCCAAAATTAATATAGGCTTTTTTTTTCTCCTCCCCCATCCCACGCTCCAACACAGGCCACTCCCCCTGAGGGAGAGTGACCCAAAAAAAAACACTTTTTATTATTTAACTACTATTAAGTAGGCTTTTTACCCATTAAAAAATCACTTACTAATTCCATTTGAATTAATTCCCAATTTTTTTTTTTTAACAAGTCGGCCCTCTCCCACCGAGGGAGGGTGACCAAAAAGAAAAAAAACCCCTTTGTCCTTTAAATTTGCCCCCTGCCCTAAGTGGGATTTGAAAAATGTAACAAAAATTCTTACAATGAAGATTTAAATGATAAATGTTATGGGCCGTATTTTTATTTTCTACTCAACTGAGGGCACCTGTACTACATTTATAAAAAATACAATGATTTTTTTTTTATTATTATCATACCGGCCATTCCCCCCAAGGGGGGTGGCCCAAAAAAAAAAACTTTCACCCTTTTATTCACTCCATCACTGCTTTGCCAGAAGGGGGGCTTTACACTACATTTTTTTTAAAAGCAAATTAAACCCCCCCCCCCCCTTCGAGTGCAGGCACTGTATTCCCACCCAGGGCTCAGCCGGGGCCCGCCGGTTTCCTGAATCCCTTCATAAAAGTTACTTTGCTCACACTCCCCCAGCACGTCAAGTTTTAAAAAAACCCTTTGCTCCATTCACTCCCATCAACACGCCACGCTGCCGTGGAAGCCAAGCCCCTGCCACAAAACCTCCTTTACCCCCTCCCTCCAACCCTTCCTAGGCCGACCCCTACCCCCCCTTTCCCTTTCCACTACAGACTGATACACCTTGAAGTCTTTCTTTTTCGTCCATTCCCTAATTCCACCACCTCAACACCCTTCCCACCCCTTGGGAAAACGTTTTGAAATTCCCCGCCCCTCCCCTAACTTCCAAACTACGAATTCTCTGCTTATTTCCCCCCACCATTGCCCCAACATGAATCCCACTGCCTCCACCCTTCCCTCGCTGCAACATTTCATCCCCACCTCACACCCATATAAGAGGTTGGTAAAACTATACTCTCATAATTCCCCCTTTGCCTCCAAAGGGCAAAGTTCTTTTTCTCCACAGACTCCTAAGTGCACCACTCACTCTTTTTCCCTCATCAATTTTTATTACCTCATCTTCATAGACCCTCGCTGGGCACGTCCCCTCCCAAATATCTGGATCGTTTTACCTCCCCCAACCCCTCCCTCCCCAAACTGATATTCTCTTTTTACACCCAATCTTTTTTTTTATCCCATAACCCTTACCTTCCTTATCACCTTTAATTTTCTTCTTTTGCAACCCTACCAATTCTCCACCAATTCTCAACTTTCTTCAGAATCCCCCAAGACACAGGCATCGCAAAGGCAGCGTGAAACTCCCACTTTGTTTGATTCTTTATTTTTAAACTCCAGCCTCCCCAAAGACCCTCGCATTTACTTCTCTTACAACCCCATCATAAATATATTAAACAACCACGGTGACATCCACATCCTTGTCTAAGGGCCTACTTTTATGGGGAAAAATTTTTCCCCTCTTTCCTCATACTCTAACTTGACCCTCCTACCTCGTAAAAACCTTCACGCTTTCAGTAACCTACCTCCTAACCATCATTTGCAACATCTGCCACATTGCCCCCCTACCACCGTCAACCCCTTTTTTTCCAAATCCATAAAGCCACAAAGACCTCTTTACCTTATCTAAATACGTTCACTTTTTTTTTCACGTAAACACCTGGTCCCACACCCCCCTACCTTTCCAAACCCCCTTTTTTCATCTGCTACCCTATTCACCCGTCTTACTTTTAATTCTTTAAATATAACTCTACCATACACTTTACCAGGTACACTCAACAGACTTATCCCCCTATAATTTTTGCACTCTCTTTTATCCCCTTTTTTTTTTTTTATAAAAAGGGAAACATCATGCTCTCTGCCAATCCCTAGGCCCCTTACCCTCTTCCATACATTTATTAAATAATTGCCCAACCACTCCAAAACTATACCCCCACCTGCTTTTAACATTTCTACCTTTATCCCATCAATCCCGGTGCCTTACCCCCCTTTTATTTTACCTATGCCTCCGAATTCCCCCCCCACTCACAACTGGCTCTTTCCTCCTCCCACAAGAGTTATTCCTCCTTGCCCTATACACGAAATCACAGCTTCCCTATTTCATCAACATTTAACAATTCCTCAAAATATTCCTTCCATCTTCCCCAAAACCTTACCCTCCATTTAATAACTCTCCTCTCCTATTTTAAAAGACAAAAAACCATTTGTTTCAGGGTTTCTAACTTTTTAAACTCACTCCAAACTTTTTTTATTTTCAACAAAATTTGTTTATAAACATCTCACCCATCTCTCATTTGTCTCTTTTTACATTGCTTCACCACTTCTTTAAATTCTCTCTTTTTCTCCATATATTTCCCCCCTTGCTCACTTCTATTTGTAAAAACTTCTCATATGTAAATTTTTCTCCCTTACTATCTCTTTAATAATTCCCCAACGCTCCTTTCCCCCCTGCACCCCCCTTTCCTTAACCCAAATTCTGCTGAACATCTAACCTACATTTTTAAACCTACCCCCCCCCAAAAACCCCTTCAACCCCCCCCAAAAAGCCTTGCTCTCATTTTGCCCATCTATCCCCCAATACTGTTTATATCTTTCCCTAACTGCCCCCTCTTTTAGTTTATAAACCTTACCTCTCCTTCCCCGATGCTTTTTTTTCCTTTTACCCATTACCTTTACTCTCAGTGTAGCTACAACTAGAAAGGATTGATATATCTTGGCCCCTCTATAAACATGTACATCCTGAAGTTTACCAACAGTCTTTTACTACCAAACAAATCCCAAAAAACTCTGTCATTTCGCCCTACTCAATCGTGTATATTATTTTTTTCCCCTTTTTTTTTAAAAATGTAACCTAAACAAACCCCTTTTTATAAAGTTCAAACAAAGGGCTCCCATTATCATTTTCCCTGGCACCCCAAACTTACCTCCCCACCCTCTCTAAAAGTTTCTCCTACTTTAGCATTTAAGCCCCACCACAATTTCTCTCTCACTTTGGTTCGGTCCTATAAATCACTTAACATCTCCCAATCTCTCTCTTCCTCTGCATTTCCCCTTTTTCCCAGTGCATACACCCCTTATTTTGACCCCCTTCTCGCATCCAACCTTTTCTTTTAAACCCATAATTCTTGAATTTTCACTTCAATTCTCTTTCTCCTTCATAACTGATCATTTAACATTAAGCTACCCCTTCCTTTGCTCTAACTCCCTTTAAACTCCGATTTTTAAACCCCATTTATTTCCCCCCACTGAAACTCTCCCTCCCCCCTTCGCTTTGTTTCCTTAGGGCCAGGACATCCAAATACAAGATAAATGCAAAAAATTTTCGGGGAAAAAAAAAAATCAATTAAAGGGAAAGTTTGGCTTTTTTACTGACCTTGGAAACAAACATGACACAAACATGTCAAGCCATGTGGGGTTTATGCACAAATTCATTGTTTCAATAACTGCAAAAAATTTTTTACACTACATTTTCAAAAAAATTATATAGTGTTGATTTATTTACTGTAATACTGTACCCACTAACAAAAATTTGGGTTAAACCCTAAATAGGGGTTTGAAATACCCTTTCCTGTCTAGAGTTGATCTACATTACTCCCACCATTGTTGATTATATAGAAAGGGGCCTGCTCTACGGCGTTCCGCAAATAGGGCTTTTTCAAATTATGACCAAAACTCACTATTCGGCTCCCCCTGTCTTAATAACAAGGCCACCGCGCCCCATCTGGTTTGTTTACAGAGTCTGTGAACACATCTCTATTATGTCTGGAAACTTTCCAAAATTTCAAGGGTTTTAAAGTTATTGCTTATTTTATATGTACTTGATAATTAAATATGTGTACTTGTACCTATATAAACTTACACACTGTGCTGGCATGCAGATACACATTAAAATCACTTAGTGTCCCTCTAGTCTTAATGCCATAGTAATAACACTAATGTAATAATAATCACTCTTGGGCACATTAAATGTCTTATTTTAAGTTAATAGGACTTTTTCATTAATCCATCTATGTATTTTCTTAAAAATTATATAACACTTTACATAGTTAAAAACGTGATACAACACCCACAGTACAAAAAATTTTGGGGCATAAATTGAGGTGGGTAGCTGGGGGAAGGGAAAAATTTCATTTTTCCTGGGCCCCACCAGAAAAAAAGTAAGGACTGTGATTGGCCCATCACTCCCCTTTCACATTCTGCTTTTTTACAATTTCAGCTGAATTCTTCTCATTTCTTCCCCTTCTTTATGATGGCAACTAAAGGTAGTTGTTAAAATATTAAACTCGGGGAAAAAGGTATGCATGGAATAAATGGCTGGGCTGCAATTTAAAAATCATAGCTATGTAGGT